TTATTACTTGCGTGCGCCACCTAATAATCTATACACGCCTGTTAACCACAGCAGAGATGCTTTGGTATAAAATACAGTTTGTAGTCCAAGACTCGGACTCAGGATAGTTATACTGTTGATTTCGAATTTGGCCAAGTTCCTTTTCCATGTTCAGCAAATTTCTCGTCATCTGTACTCGTTCACCGTAGTAATTCGTTACATCGTTGCTCTGCCTTGATGTCAATATTTACACTAACGTTGACACTATTCAACGTATATTCTTCAGAGCCCACTGATTGGTGTTGCGTTGTCACGCAGTGTATTCTTCTAGTTGGAGTGTTCCTTATAACTTTGCGTTTCTCTACATGTGTAACAATTGTCTTAATTGGTAATAAGAAAAAAAGGGCTTTGAGTCAATCAACACTTACGAGATCGCCTCCTGGCAGCAGCAGTTTGACGGCAAACGAGTGAATTATTTATAGAATCACCAATATTATATTGTTCGAGTGTTTCAATTGTTTGCCATTGGTGGGGTGGTAATCAAAATCACGTCCCTAAAGGAAATAGAAACCGGGTTAGAAGGGGCTTTCTCTGAATTTGAGAAATGTTCAACTTACTTTAGGATAGCTGAAAGCAGGGAGAGGGATTTTCCAACTAAGTTTATATTAGCATGAGCACTCCCAAGCCTCTCGAGACATCTGGGAAATACTAGCCAACATCCATGGATCGCGCTTTTCACGAACCCAATCTTGATAGTAATAGTAAATAAACTTTTGAGTTGAATAAAAAAAGACACATTAAATGTCATACTTATCAAATCTAATAAGTAGCTTACTGATTGCTTCAGGAATTTCACTCGACTCGATTTGGTACAAAAAGCAGTTGGACTTGTGCTTCGGTTTCTTGATTCGGTATCGCATACATCATTTTCTTTACTTCTTCGGGAATTTTTTTATTCCTAATATTCCTGTAACATTATTAGAAATCAGTAAAATAGAATGCACATGTATTGGCTGATAATGTTAGCGAACGAGACAAAGTGGTTATCACCAACCGATTATAATGCACTATGCAAGTTTGATATATATGTTCAAGATTTTACCTGTCGACGACAAAAATCATTTCTGTCTGCACCGGTTTAAGTTCAAACGTGGGACACGAGTCAACATGGTACAATTTGTCTTGGTCTTTGGATTGTATTCTGTGAACGCTCTGTAAAAAGAAAATGGATGTATGAGTTCGATGAATATCTGTCGTATTTTCCGCAAACCGTCACCGATTCTGTGACCTCTGTCCTTTCTTGATCCATACCTAAATCTTACTCTTAACAACTAGCACAAAGTCCTTTTCCAAGTGAGTTCTATCTTCTGCCAGCCCAACTCTGCAAGTCTTTGGGTCTCCATTCAAATTAATCTTGTGCGCGGGTGACTCGACACTCAACAAACTGGCCGTCATACGGCACGTAACATTCACGTCCAATGTGAATGCATATTGTGTTTCGTTCGAATACATCGGATTACCCTAGTTCTGCGGATCGCCATAGCGAGGTGCAAGAGCGGTAGGCAGGACAAAGCGAAATCGGAATCCCGTTTAAGCTCGGTTACGTAAGTTATGCGAATTTTGTTTTGCGTAACGTTGCCAATTGAGCATTGAAAACATCCGGACGTTCTTCTTCAAGTAAGTATGCGCCAAGACCACTCTTTATGTTTTAAGTAATCAAGGAGGTGGCGAAGAATAAGTCTCGATAATTTAATATTGTAAACACGCAGTAGACACTTGGATAATCCGTAAGCTATTCATTTATGCAAACCTGAACAGCTTCATCGTACTCTTTAGCAGCCTGCTGAGCTTCTTTGACAATACCCTTTACTGTGCGATTAGCCACGGTTGCTGCAGCTTCATGAATTGGGAATTTGTAGATTGCTTCAATTGTCACGGCTTCTTCATTCTTGTAAGTTTGAGTGACGGTGACTTTGGGAATTAATCGCAAGCAAAGGAAGTGGGTAAGTATGCTGTGAATTCTTGCTCAATAGATCTTTACCTTCAGCAATCATGTCACTACAGAGTCAATTATATGTTAGCTACGTCGAAATGACAAAATAATAACGACTTTTACTCTTTTGTAATTACCATTTGCCTCAACGCTAACGTTCTGGGCCAAAGATAGCCAGGTGAGACTCTTACCTCTAATATAGTTGTTGTAATGTTGGTATTAGAGATGAAAGGTGAAAGGATGTGTCGTGTGAATACAAGCGCGATTAGAATTTTTCTCATTGAGGAAATGATAGACGTACCGATTGATGATGGTATACAGGAGTCAAATGCAGCAAGCGCTTATATTGGTATGTCATATTACAACGTCATTTAGAAAAAAGAACAGTACAAAATCGGGTATATAGAAGCTCTGTACTGTACCTTTTCAAATTCTGCACTGAGTTTGCATATAACGATCTGCTTGATTTTTCGAATTCTGGGTCATATAAGCTTCATGAGCATTGGATTCTTTAGTGCTGATTCGCGTCTTCGAATAATCAAGCCAAATTCAAATATTCTGGGTTAATTCATTGCACACACGTTGGCAACAGCACTCTTTATTTCGACTCTAGTTTTCAGTACTTTTCTAACTTACATGGAAGGCTAATTATGTTAATCTATTCTCTGACTTTACCAACGGAAAAAAAAAATTTTTTTTTCGGTCTAACCGTCCGTGTAGTTTCCCCTTTGTTACAATAATATCTAAACAGGGTCCAAAATATATCTTTCGATGGTGAGACATTTGATATGATTAATGATAAATACCGTAAACTATCGTGAATAAGGGCCCCTCATCCCTCCCTTATCACATCAACAATCGACGTTATTGCTTTATTATATGAACTACAGTTCGTGATTATGTAATAAATAGAGATAACGTGGACAATTGTTACGTGACGATTCGTAGATCATTTTGCATTGTTTTTAAGGCGTGTGCCTGATACGGTTTTCGCTTGCGGTTTTATGTTATACAGGAAACGGATCACAGGAGAGATTGCAAGTCCCGTGAAATGTTCGGTGACTTAATAAAGATCGAAATGTTCGGTGACTACGTTATGTAAAATAAGTGCTTTCATCGTTATTTACTTTATCCATTTACAGTAACAGCTTCGATTGCCTTCCAATTCTGAGTATTCCAAGCAAGAACATTATACAAAGATTCCACTTGAAACTGGTGAATTATAAATGTTTATTATTATGGTTATTAGTTTAATATAAATATGTTCAACGAGACAAAAAAAGTTTACATCCATGCTTAATGATATGCTTTAATTGGTTCACTCTTGGAAAAACTCGAACACCTGTCCTGATTATTATCGTTATTGTTGATGTTATTGTTAACATGACAAATCAACCATAAATGGCGAGATTGTGCTTGATTCCCAGTTTAATCTCATGTGAAATTACGCATTTAGTCTTTGTCATATACTATAATTTGTTGTGTACAATTATAAATAATGACTTACTCCGCCTAGGTTACACATGATGGTCTTTGCATATATAAGCACACTGGTGATATCAACACATACTGCCATCTTTCACAATGTTGAAAACTCACCGCTTAAACCTGTATAAAAAAAACCCAGAGACAAACCCCACAAGGCGAGGCTTTTCTATCAAAATATACCACACATATTCAAAGTCTACACGACCAACAAACGTGGAAAGCCAACCCCCCGCAAGTAGCTCGGTCCAGGAGGAGAAACTTCGCCCTTTGACAATTTACAACACGTCAATACCTTCGATCGACAGATATTAGCGCGATGAGGTACATGACTACCGGCAGCTGGGCAATAAAGTCGTACTCGATTATTATGATGTATGACTACAAACGCCCCCCCCCCCCCCCCCCCCCCCGCGGCGGCATCGCTGACTGATGACATCCACAAGGATGATGTCCGCCGCCCAATTAAAAGAACGTCCTTCTATCCAGACAGCCAATTAAGCGTCAAAGTCCACACGTCCAGCAAACGCGGAAAGCCAACCCCTCGCAAATAACTCGGTCCGGGGGGGGGGGGGAAACTTCGCCCCACAATTTACGTCAGTGCCTTCGATCGACAATGCGGGGTGCGATGAGGTACATGACTATCAGCAGCTGGGCATTATAAAGTCTTTTGGACGGGTGGCAATTTTGCTGATGACATCCACAAGGACCATGTCCGCTGCCCAATTAAAGAACGCCCCCACTTGACAATTACAATTTACGTCAGTGCCTTCGATCGACAAATACTGCGTCGTGCGATGAGGTACATGACTATCAGTAGCTGGGGGCAATAAAGTCATGATTATGATGACTACAAGCAAAGTCTTTCCGGCGCAGAAACGGAATCCCCGGGCGGCAATTCTGACTGATGACATCCACAAGGACGATGTCCGCCGCCCAATTAAAAGAACGTCCTCCTCCGTTGGATTGAAGCACTCGAAGACGGCCAATTAAGCATCGAAGAAGTCTCTTGGTTTACACGTCTCGCGGAACCGTTACGCCTTCGTTGGAAAGCTGTTTCTGAAACGAGAAAGATGAAAGAGACGATTCAGCCCAAGACGCTGTCAAGGGCAACCGCATATGAGGGGAAACGGGTTTTAACTTATTTCTTCAATGTAAGAAAATTTCAGTTGGGATAAATGGTGGGATGGCTATGCTGTCTTCCCGGAGGCTTACTGAACAGTTGTCATTTCAGCTGGGTGTATATTAATCTACCTTGTAAAATAATATTGACCATAGAAATTTCAATGTTTTTTTCCAATTTGTTTATTTACCAATAAAAATAATAAAAATGGTAATTATATTAAATTATTAAATGTCTGGTCGACGCCGAGTGTGGCATGACAACCTTGTTTACGCTGAACGCCAAGTGTTACATAGAACGATGATGGTCGCGAAACAACACAGCTATTACAAGAATTGTCTCCAGATGGTATAGTCAAGTGGTATCGATATTTTTTGATTTTGCAGGAGATTCAATTCCGCAGAGTATGTTTTCATCAAACGTCGGAATCTAATAGCATATGAAGAAGTTCAGTACTTCGCTTATAAGATTTGAGAGAAACTAGACAGAGACCACTCAAATTGAGTTTCCCGTAATCGCTTGAAAAAATTTTGACAGACGAGACTATTTCGGACGTTGTGTAATGCTCAATACTTACCCGAGTCATATCTCTCTGTTTGCGCACACGCTGTTAGTCGAAGGTGGAATGATAAGAATCTTCCATAACCCTACACTCACAGCTTAGATGAATTATCTAGGCATCTTTAGTTCTTCCACTATAATATCGTCCTTATCCTATACAATAATTCCTCCGTCTTTCGCAATGGGAGCTTTCCATTCCTGGCGTGTAAACGATTTAGAAATCTGAACGCAAACTGAGTCTAGCTTTTGGCGGGAGCTTGGTGATTTTGCTGTGTAGACGAGATCGCGACGTGAAGATAGCTCTAAGCATAAAGCCGTTATGCCTGGAGATGAGTAATTATCTACGAATCCTGACACTTTTGTTGTGTTGTTACCCTCTCGATTGACTAACATCATTTAATTATGCACTCAGTAGTCTTGAAGCGTCCATCGCGTAGTGAATTATCATACAGAGACTCCGAGTAGGTGAATAAAATCGGAGTGTATTTCTCATTTTAATTTTTGATTCTTTAATTTGGTAGGCATGTGTTCAACTTCAGGGCATAATGAAAAGCTCCCCAAGGTAAATGAATGCCATGAACAGTGTTTTGCATCCAAATATTCTCATCTGTATTTTACTATTGACAATCTCATCCTTCTTTTCCCTGTTTTATAAGGAAAACATCCGGTAACATAACTAGCGCTTTCCTTTCTGTGTTGCTATCGTGGCGACCCACTTTCGCATGGTCATAATCCACCATAGCAGTTGTTGGGTTCGTTGTCAGCGTTGACTCAATAACCTAATAAGTCAACCATTCGTTATTGAAAATTAGCCTTTGTTAAAAAGGTAGATGTCAAATACCAGACATCATCATTTACTATATTCTGTCATACTACTACGTCAACATACATTTGCCCGTTTCATCTCCCCAACACTGTCCCGCATGCCATCTTAGTGAATCAATGGCCTTGGCATATCCTAAACGTAATTCCAACTAATGTGAGACACGTAATATTAGATAGCCACAAACCCAGCACCCGCGGCTACAACTGTTAAGGCAAATAGTTGGTCACTATATATCCGTTAAATAAAATAACACGTACACTTTGTCCTGCGCGCTCAAGACAAGGATCATGGTAACGTTTGAAAGGCGATTCGACTCGCTGATCAACGATATCTAAAGGTAAACTTTACTTATTAGACGTCAGCTAGAATGAGTGAATTGGTGATGTGGCGATATATTAATATGCCAAATACAGTTTTTAAACTTGTTGCCACAGCACATGTTCATAAATCGCTTACCGTCTAACTTTCCTTATTGACATTGAGATTACACTTTTAAGACAATGATATATTACTATGCTAAAGCATTATTCTCCTGCATGTACGCTTTGTTCCCAATGGTAAACAACAGATTAATAGAAATGCTTATCGGGAATGTCTAGCAGTATAAAACTGAAAGTACTGCTTACCATCGACTCGTCTATGTGATTCGCTTTATGCTTATGTGTTTGACACGCTCTTGTTATTATAATTACCGTTAAGCCACCACGATTTATGAATCTGATTTGCTGCATAATTCACGTGCTATCCATCCGGCCTCATTACGAATCGTTAGTAATTCTGTCGGTTAACGTTATTGTTGCAGAAAACAAGTTTGGGTATGTTAACGCTTTAATCTAATACATAAGCATACTTGAGGAGCAGCATGAGTTATTGCAGGTAAGCAAATCAGAAACGGAAGGGTTATTTCGATATTCTGAAAAGTGAAATGCAGTATTTATTTCTGGTTCTCGTGCATCACAAACAATATTATTAGAAGCTGACTATACCTCTCCGCTTTGCAACGTACAGAACCAGAAAATCAATAGATTTATATTTGGTGGCATAGTACGTGGTTATGAAATGATCCGGCACTACAGCAATACGTTAACGGTGATCATAATCATTTGATGAAAAGCGCAACACGGACGGTTGTTGCTGCCACATACAACGACTATACTGGGCCACAACCCTAGAACTTCTATCCCTTTTCTTATAATATTATATTTGCTCGTTGATACACTACAATTATGTCTACAGTTACAACCGGCTGAGAGGATTCTTGGCTAATTCGTGTTAGAACAATGCGATAAAAGAAGATGATGATTGAGATGCGCTATTAGGAGAAGCGTATAAATAATAAAGTAATACGTTATGGATCAGGAAACGATCGAAAGGTTTCACTAGTCGAACGCATGGAGCACTAGATTAGCTAACACCAGGCATTGGGAAGTATATGAGGAACTAATTACAATATAACTTTGGTATGTTATAGAGTGGGTTTGGAAGAACAAGATGAAGATATAAAAAAGGATATAGGGAGAGGTTTCATTTTTGGCAAGTAAAAAATGGGGAGGTACAATAATGCTCGCTAATGGTCGAAATGAAAGTCGGCAATCATATTGAGATACCGGCGTTGGCCAATATATATATATATCTATACTTAATAAAGCACAATGTAAATTTGTAGCCGTGTGCTGAAGACGAAGATCATGTTAATGTTTGCGATGGAAGAAAGCGATGAATAGGAGCAGGCTTATCCGGCTTATTTTAGCCTCCTTTGGTGTAATTACAGTTTACGTGCTCGCTACATTCTAAAGTCATTTGATCAAACAGCACTTATGCGGTACGCTACCCACTTCGAACCGCGCACAAGTTTCTACGTGCCGAGAGTCAAGTGTATCTGTCCGTGTATTTACCTCCGGCATATCTCAGAAATTGTTACTAGAAACATTTTGTACAAGAGTAAATTGTGCTGTCCACAAATGTCGAACAATAGATTGTCGTTACTATTGGGTTGATTCATATACACAGCATAACATAATCAATAAAACATCGAATATGCAAGGTACAGCATGGATTGACATGGATAAGTCCAAACAAGAGACGGACACGTTAATATACAGTATCGCTTCAAAAATCACCGACCCTCCCTACATTACGATTAACTGACATAATGGGCGATTTAAATTGCATTGCAGAAATTGCAATATACTGCAATTACCATGTCTATGAACCTACTTTACTCTCACGTAAACTATTAAATCCGAGTTACACGCCCTAAAAGTTTAATCTACATAACTGTGCATCATTCGAAAGCGTAAAACAACCGCTAAAAATTGAAACGGGATATCGAAAAATTAGAATATTAATTAATATTATTTAGTTTATCTCTGAAATCACGCGTGTAACAGAATAGATGATCATGAATAACGCTTAAATACAAACATTACTTTTTACCAATGACAAAGGCTGAGTGAAGTCTTGTTATTGGAGGGTAGCTCTTTAGTTATGCAGAATGAGAAAATTCAAGAGAAAACTGGTCAATCGCACATCAGCAGTTTTGCTCCATGAAGTGGAATACTGTCAAAATTGACAAAGACAAACGACATCTTGAAATTGTTGTTCGCTTTAATCGACGGCAGAAGACGAGTCAGAATTACCAAAATTAACTGGAACTGCCGTTTGTCGGCTATAAACCAGGTGATGGGGGTGATGATGAGAATTAGGTACAATTTATGTCGATTAATTTTTAATATTTTACATAGATCGATGTCGGTATAAGGTGTGCGTGACTTTGACATTAATCTCAGCGCAATCAAATCATTCATCGCAAATGTAGGGGTGGTCGATGACTTTTGAGACAATACTGCATATAACATAAATAAAATTACATAATATATAATGGATGTATGAACAATAAATCAATCAATAAATAATGAATAAATTAACTACATTGTAGATACTCTATTTCAAGATAGCAGTTTCTATTTAAACACATATGTTACCTCGTACAAAAAATAATAGAGTACGTCATTGCTATTCCCATTTCCGGTATAACGGTGAAGATACTCCGACTGCTTTACTTCATCTTATCAATCCTCATACATTATATCAATCGCACATGTATTGTACGTTGATGCCTGCATGTCCAACGTTTCATTGTGTAATCACGCCTTACCAAAATGAAATACAACGTCGGAGGCCTGTATGTCAGAGCCCTTTCAAATCCAAGCTTCTGTATCGCAAACGTATAATATCTTACGACTAGCACCCCCCTTTCTCGACAAACGTTTGTTATGAGAGCATCAAAATTGGTTGATAAGGTCTTTGTTAATATTGTAAACATCACATCATTGAACATGAGCATTGCAGAATGGCAATGGTTCCAGACCATGGGGCTTATGTTGGACAATTAAAATGGAAAAGTTGCAATTGCACGCCGTATTGTCAATGGCACATGCAATTGCCCCTAATGCACTTAATAATAATAATATTGTAACTTGTCGAAATATATGCCTGGTTTTTCTATTACGTTTGCCCCGAGTCTTTCGATAAGATAAGAAATCACATCGTTTCTGCAGACAATGCAGCTACGGATCATAGGCGTATCCAAATACAGCCAGACTGAACAATCGAACTGCGGAAACGTCGCCAACTGATTGTTTGTTGGTAGCCCCAAAAAAACTTGGCGATCACCGATCAGAAATAATATTCTATTGTCAATGCATACATGCAATTACAAACAGACAGGTTAAGCCACAATGCGATAACCTCGTTGTCGTGTGCCCATTATGGATGCCGATCCATATTAAGCAACCTTAAAATTTGGAATTGTTCTTTACGGCAATAACCATTAGACTTTTTACTTCATTCGGCAATAATTAAACTTATATCACCAACATTCGGAAGACACCCGAAATTTACGACTGAAAACCGCAGCTACATGGCATCGACAAAAACATTTAAATATGCAACTCTTCTCCCAACAACAATTCTCTCAAGCAAATAGTATAACACTCACCTTCCCGCATAACTCTTAACTTTTACCCAATAACCAAAGAACTCAATAACCAAAGAACTCTATAAAATGTCTCAATCAACGGTGGAAAGATTTAACCTCGGCAGACAGCACCAAGATATGGGAGATTATGCTGAGGCACTCATACTGTTGCAAATTGCAGCCGATAACGAATATTCACCGGCACAACACCGCTTAGGCGATACATTCTTGTACGGTATTGGAGTCGAAAGAAACGCTGAAAAAGCATTCGCGTTTTATTATAGGGCTGCTTGCATTGGCTTTGCCAAATCTCAGTATAAAGTCGGTTGGTGTTATCAGTTTGGCGTGGGAGTTACCAAAGATTGCAACATGGCGGTTGAATTTTACAAAAAGTCTGCCGATCAGGAAAACCCCGTCGCACAGTTCGCTCTCGGCTGGTGCTACGAATACGGTACTGGCATAGACAAGAATAGCCAGAAAGCAACCGAATGTTTCCAAAAAGCGGCTCAACGAGGAATGGCCGATGCATTGTTCATCCTCGCGCAACGATACGAGAACGGGAATGGTACAGAACAGTGTTACCGGCTTGCTGCGTTGGCATATAAAAAAGCAGCCCAATTAGGACATCCATATTCTTATTACAAATTGGGGTTATGTTATTATTACGCTACGGGCATGAAGAAGGATGATAGGAGAGCGTTTGAATTTTGTCGGTTGGCGGAGGAGATGGGGGTGACGGATGCACGATGCTTGCTTGCCACGTTTTATGAAAACGGCGTAGGAACATTCGTAAATCACCTCATGGCGTTCAAATTATACTGCCAAGCTGCCGAAGATGGGAACGCATATGCATGCTGCTATCTCGGCGATTGCTACCGAAAAGGAGTTGGGGTTGAGAAGGATTACAAGCAGGCGTTTTTATGGTACGAAATGTCTGCCAATCAAGGGAATCCAATGGGGCAGTATAGCCTTGCCAATTGCTATAGATATAGGGTTGGGGTAGAGCCGGATCTTGAGAAAATGTTAGAGTTATTATTGGCAGCGGCCAATCAAGGCCATGCGATGGCCAGAGCAGATTTGGGGTGGGATACGCAATGTTGAATAGACATCTAAGTAACTACATGTAGAATGTCGAATAAGTTACATTGTTATATTTGTATTCTGGGTTTATTTCGCTAAATATTGTGATTGATATTTAATACAGCCTTGCATATATACATCTTAGCCATGCGTCCGCGTTACGTAACACGGTCATTGATGACATCATGAATAAAGTTGGTTTGGAAACATGTTTATGAAGCTTATTTCGCTTAATACCTACGTTGAATCTCAGACCCACTAAAACGCGAACAGCTAAAATGCACACGACGACGCTACCACGTTTGTTTTCCTGCGATGGATAAGATATACAATACATTTTGATAGAACAACCACTTTGCGGAATTTCTAAATGCACTACTTCTCAGACATTGTACAACCAGATCGAACAATAGTTGGGTTAGAACGTTCATACGTTTATCATTGGGTCGATTCGCATACACGTTCAGTGAACAGATGTCGAATATGCAAGCACAGCATGCATTTACATATGCTTTTTCATTGCACGATTATCAAAAGGTTGATTTTCCGTTCGCTGGTGCATCAAACCGTTTTCCTAAATTTTATCATTAATAATATCGCTTAAAATGTATTACCTACTCTCCAATCTTCCAGCCGTTTGATCAACGTCGGGCCTATTGTCAACATGGGCTGATATATGAGACATTTAAATATTTGCTATATCTAAAACCGCAATGACAATGATAGGATATATAAGCACATCTCTCAGCCGACTGTTTGTATGAAGAAGAATACAGGAATGCCTTCCTGTTTTGCACTAATGAAGGATGACAATACGGCGGTCAATCATTACGTAACGGCGAACCAATTGAATTACACGTGTTCAAACAAACTTGGCCGGGTGAGTATGCCCCGCGCCCTCCCAGAAGAACTCGATATATTTAATTAATAAATACAAACGAGTGGAAAACTGAACCCCCTCACGATGGATTATATTACAAAAACCCGACGAGAAGTTCAGTTTGACAGTTATAAAAACACATAAACAAGACATCCACGCTGCATACGATGATGATGAGAATGAGATAACTTCTAGTCGTACCAATTTAACGGAGATAAACCCGGAGATAAACCCGGAGATAAAAAAAAATTTTTTTTGTTTCTTTTATTATATCAAAAATAAAATAAAGTATCGCTATTTGACGTGCATTTATCTTCCTTGGGAAACTGTGTTACCAAGTACTTGCGCGCATAGACAGCCTCTTTAACCCTTTCATGCAGGAGTAAAGTTTAAATGATAACTCTACAACTGATTAGGTTTTATAAACAAAGCTATGACGATGGCATTTGTTGTTCCAGTTATCAAATCTCCCAATCGCTGGGCGTCTTCCACCACCCCAAAACTATCGCCTCCGCTTTCATTGGATATATATACAAACTCACATGGTTGTTCGACGATCTACGCAGTAAATATTCGTTAACGCTCTGTCCCAATATACTATCTCGCTATCACATTGATGCGGTATTGGCTAGAATCTGGAATGGCACGTTCGATATCAGAACAGGTGTGCAATGAAATTAAATGGCAAGGTAAATCTATTATTGTTTGTTGCCCCAAAAGTAGTATATCTTGATTAAATGGCAATAGAAATCAATGGAAATGGCGCAGGGCCATAGAATGTTTCATTCTTATAAACAATAACATTCCGTTTATATTGAATGTTCTATTGTAAATATTTTATCCAGAAACACTTATATACGCGAGTCTCCCCAACGAGGCGACATACCACACTAGAAACGGATCATATCATACAGTATAGAATACATACCCGACAACATCCCATACGACATACTAATACCACACAACATACCTACAAACATATCCGAAATGGTTACCTCGAGACGAGAAATTGAAGTATATCGAAGGGCTGCCCAACGAGGACATGCTCGTTCCCTGTGTCGATTGGGCGATTGCTACAAGATTGGAGATGGCGTAAGGAAAAATGATCACAAGGCAATAAGGCTGTACCGAAAAGCAGCCCAACAAGGACATGCTGATGCCCTATGTCGATTGGGTGATTGCTACAAGACGGGAGATGGCGTAAGCAGGGATGACGAGGAAGCGGTCAGTTTCTACCAAAGAGCTGTCCAACAAGGGCACATCATTGCGCTGCATAACCTCGCTGTATGTTATTATAATGGAGATGGCCTTGAAAAAAACGAACGAATAGCATTTTTACTATTTCAAATCGCAGCAGGGCGGGGCAATCCGAATGCCCAATTTCATCTTGCTATATTTTATTATAACGCGATTGGTGTAAAAAAGGATATTCAAAAGACAATCGAGTTCTGTCAGCAAGCAGCTAAACAAGGTCACGCCCAAGCACAGCATAGACTGGGGACTTTTTACGAAAATGGATGTGGCCTGGGCAAAGATTATCGAAAGGCCGTCGAATTATATCAAAAATCAGCTGACCAAGGCCTTATCCAAGCTCAATTGGACCTCGCAAGGTGTTACGATGATGGCATTGGAGTGCCAATAAACGAGGAAAAGGCCTTTGAACTTTACCGTAAAGCAGCAGAGCAAGGGTGTCCCATCGCACAATACTCGATTGGACTACACTACTTGTTGGGAAAGGGAGTAGTGAAGGACGAGCAGAAAGCAACGCGACGGTTGCGATTGGCCGCTCGGCAAGGACTTGCTGAAGCACAACATCATCTTGGTATGGGTTACCTAGTCGACATTCCGGGGAAAGACGAGCGAAAAGCAATCAAACTCATTAGAAAAGCTGCAAGACAAGGATATGCTCCTGCAATATTTTCTCTTGGTCTGTGTTACAGTGAAGGCATTGGCGTTAGACGAAATCCACGACTGGCCGTAAAATTGTATCATACAGCTGCTAAAAGCGGTGTGGTGGGGGCTCTATATATTCTCGCTATATGTTATCGTAATGGGGTCGAAATAGAGCAAAACATGCAAACAGCCCTCGAGTTATATCACGCTGCAGCCGAACAAGGACACGCAGAAGCACAATATGATCTTGGTCAATGCTATGAAAATGGAATTGGGGTGGAGAGAGATGAACAAAAGGCGATGGATTTGTATGAATCAGCGGCAGAGCTAGGAGTTGCAAACGCGCAATTTGCTATTTTTATGAAAATTAATCTGAATTAAATCAGCCAGAAGCGTTTGTATTAAGATAGTATACTAGTATTATACGGTAAGCGATTTATAAGGTTATGTGTTGCGATTGGTCAAATATTACTTACAAGCAGTCTCAGCGAAGCAAGTATGGGAATACTATTAAATGTAGAAATAGTAGAGAAGCTTATTTTGATGCATAAAAACCATCATGCGGTATTTTGAGAATAAAGAAGACTTGTGGTTCGTTTTGAGATCACCTATTAATAGATTCGTGTGTCTCCCACGTTCTCGTAAGCCATTTTCTCAAATAGACGCCGAATAGTTTTACAGCATTTCCCGAATTGATAAAGGTTACCGTATGGAGCTATTTCCAGATTTGCAGGCACATTACCAATGAAAAAAAAAAAATTATCACAACTCGTCGCTTATACCTCAGAGGACTCCAGGCTAGTGAAATAAAAAATAACCGACTCTCGCGAACATATTGTATAATACTTATTATTTTGTAATGGAAGTTGGTTTAACATTCTAACACTATGATCATCGTATACAAAAACTTATTATCAAATGGCGCAATGATATATACAATTGTCAGTTGGTTTAATGAAAAGAAAGCTTTCGCGTTTCCGATCTTACATTCTCGTTCCCAACGAATGTTATAATACTTATTGTTATTGGCTGTCCTAATCTTAAGTTAACTTCTACCTGTTACACGAGATGTCGGAAATCTGTGTTTATTATTATATGAATCCACTACCAGGTCGTTTTTCATTGTCATGGTCGCTTCGCACCCATGGTCACGAGAATTGGAATATCAAGCGTAAGTAAATGCCAACGCATTTGCACCATTATAATAGTAATTATCTATGTATAATGACACCTCCGCTCTTTTCTCTTGATTGGACGTGATACATAGGAATGGATGGTCTGCTCTTGGTCGCGTTATTGGTAGTGATACGGAGACTCCGATGCGATGGTATGTCTTCCTCAACAAACAGCAGACGCATTATCAACAAGCATGTTCTATACATTAGAAGATTGGGATATAGCTTTTTATCACTATCAACAAGCTGCCATAGCATTTGATGACCATATCCGGCTCAGTTTGGTCTTGACTAGTGTTGGCTTTGTAGAGAAGAAATAACCTGGCAAAAAGAGAAATTCGAAAGAAAGAAATGATATAAACATTAGAACTGTATCTGCACTCTAAAAACTATAAACATAGACAAATATATAATACCAGAAGGTACGTAAAGATGTTGAATGAAGAAGTACTCTAAAACATGAGGAATTGACAGAGCATCATCGTTCTCTTACAACCGACACAGAAATTCCTTGATGATGCCTTGGACCCTTTCAATAAAGTTCTCGAGATTGTGGTAAATCTGAAGACGAGCCAGGATCGCAACCACCGTAAACCTACAAAGAGATTGTTTCTGACCTTGAAACTGACACCGAGGCACAAATACGATTGATTGACTACGCTCACCACGCAACATCACTATCACGTGAGGGACAAGAAGGGTGATTATGACGAAAGAACGCGAGCATATCAGCGTGCGAATTCTTCAGACTTTAACTAATGGAGTTGCCATGAGGTAAGTTTATTAAAGTAAGACAGAAAATGTACATTACCACTGGAGCGTTGGCATTATATTTATCACTGATTTTCGCTATTTGTATTCCTGTTCAGCTGCGAGAACATGTTGCCAGCGATCAACATTAATCTGGCGCATTGGGTGCGTGGAGACCGGAGAATATTTGAAAAGTTGATGTAAATGTCTGTTGTGATTATCAACTATAATTACAATTATTGTTATATTTTATATTTCCGTCATATGTCAACATACTTACAGTATTACATTTTATTTGTTTCAGGCTTTGCTGAATGAGCGGCATTTCAACAACCAAAAGTTGAACGAAGCTCGAGTCGATGGAAGGACCAACCCCTCTCGACCGGCCAAGTATGTTAAGTAAAATTGTTGCATCATCAAAGAAAGATGGGTACATCTGGCAAGCATTTGCTGACACAATTTCACTCCTCAGGTTGCATTTTACGATTCTACAACTGTCTCTACTTCCGTCTGGTAGCGCCATGCTTTTGCTAGTGGCTTTATTACTAGTAGTTCTGCAGCGCGAAGTAGTCGATCTTCAAGTACAGACTATTTGTACCCCGAGAGCTGCTGCCTCACGGCCGCTTACATTCTCCTGTTGATATCGAAGCAAGCGCTTCAGTTTGACAGAGCAGATTTGTCGTCTCTGAAGAAGAAGGCACGCGGAAGGGCAATGAAGTTGACTGAACGTGAGTCTTTATGAATTCATTATCTACTGAGATTATTTATGATAATCTACGTTTAACAGAACAATAAATGCGATGTATGAGATGTCAATAATCTTGGATGAATAGAAACTTATACCTTAGTAATGTCCAACACATGAGTTGACAGTCGTAAACCCTTGCTACTTGTTCATTTTAAGATCACTGATAGATAATCGATCTCTGCAAACTGTATCCACGATACGTGAAGACTCGATCTTTTCTCCTTGGTTGGTTAATTTCTATCCGTGGATACTAATACACTGAAATTTGCTGTTTATATTTATAAGATCAACCTCTCCCTCTAAACAACTGTATTAAGCTAATTACCTTCTTAATTCTCTTGTTATAGTCCTGAGCACTACGAAAGATACGAACAAAAAATTCCGATAATCTATTGGCATGTATGCGCCAAAGCTCTACTCTTCTCATTCTTCCTTGTTGTCGCGAAACGATCATATTAATATATTGATTTATTTTATTTCGTTCTCGTATCCAGTGAAGTAATCGTAGACAAAGATTTATATATACGGATACATGGTTTGGTACTTCCATCGACGTCATAAGAAGTGCCACGCGTCGCATTCCCTGCCTAGAGTAATACGAACGAAGGATTACAAAAATGTGAGCCATTACACTAATTCTGTATTTCAAGAAGGGATTTGTAATGACAATCACAATTGCAAAATGACAGATTCTTATTCGAATGTATCATTGGGATTTCTTTTTATTATCAAGCCTCGCTTTACGATCCACGATAGAGATACCGTAGAGGAACAGTTAATATATTTGAACGCAAAGACTTCAACTATTCTTCATAAGTAGCAAGATGTGATCATAGAAACGTTTGTCAAACTGAATTTCAGCAAAACGTGCTCGCTTGTAGCAACAGATTGCGTCGTGGTAAGAGTTTTTGTTTTAGTATTGGAACATCCAGAAACGTAGGTATTTTACTAATCTCTAGCAACACGAATCATCAAGAATCTTGTGAGGGAAGACTTGGATGATGGGATACTGCCACAAAAAAGTTATTCCAGACACAGAGTTATCTTAACTAGACGTACTGGGCGATGGAAGCATAATTCGAGAACGTCAATTATCAGGCAGTGCGCTTCTTCTGGATAAGCGTTGAATGAGTCTGTTCAATCGCTTAACATCTACTTATTCTGAACATTATTAGTACTTGAAATAGGCGATTGGAGATGGAGATCAGAAAGAATCAAGTATGCAACGGTAGAAGCTATCCAAACCAAGTCTTTTCCAAATGACCCATGCAGTCGCAACTTACTAAGGCCTTGATAGACGCGATAGCTACTTTATGACTCGAATGCAGGCGATAAAAGCAGATCCCACGCCTGCTCAAAACTTTGATTGAAGAATATCCTGTAAGAACTAAAACTCCACGGTATTACGCGAGTGATGAATCATCAATCCTCGAAGATCTATCGCCACTCTTTCATGATATTACCCAGCGATTACAAATGAAGGTAACTCCCTCACAATAGAGACTTTATTGTTATCTATGAGAATACTGAACTACATATAGCGTCTTGTTACTCCGCGTTTAGCATCGGAGCATGATCAATATAGTGTCTAGATATTTGTCCGTGACTTCGTTTTGCCTTCTGATTACCAAGTGTCAATCGCGCACTCTGGTATCTACGGGAAGATGTGGATCTGTGAGATGCCTTATAAAGCATTTATTTATATTTTACTTATATTTTTGCCTCAATCACCGACTTAATCTACGTACATTGCGCTGCCCAGGCTAGGACTTGAATCGCTTGCAATTCATCATCGTACTCAGACTTTTGAATCGCTGGCAATTCATCATCACACTCAGACTTGAATCGCTTGCAATTCATCATCGTACTCGAATGTCAAGCCGCCGCAGCAAACGAATAAGAGGATTGTATACGTTAACAAATCCTCTGGAAAAGCACAATAATTTATATATTAGCTTTTATATAAATATACATGGATATGCTGTAGCCCCCTAATTTCAATTTGATAAATACCTTATCATGAAGCGGCTGATGTTACCATTTTCCGCTTACGAAGCTGCGCTCGTCGGGTTTGTTAATCCTCTATTCGGTGAGTGTGAATGGTTAGAGGAGACTCAACACGAATAAATAACACGCCCTGACGGATTACTTACCACAACTATATAATAGTAAGGATATACGAAATGTACAGGATCAACTTTGGTTATGATCGAGTACGCCAAGCAGCGCAAAATCAACTCGCTTCCGTGAAAAAGAAGAGGGCGACGTCAAAAGAACCGCCTAAAAAGTTAAGGCTTAAACCAGGCTTTCCGAAGAAGACAAGGATAAGGACTATGTCGACAAGTCAGACAAAGATAAAGACTGTGTCGACAAGTCAGATAAGGATAAGGACTATGTCGACAAGTCAGACAAAATAAAGACTATGTCGACAAGTCAGACAAGGATAAGGACTATATCGACAAGTCAGATAAGGATAAGGACTATGTCGACAAGTCGGACAAGTATTAAGAAAAGGTGAGAGAAAAGCTAGGCGGTTTCCGATAGATTTGTTGTTGTTATTATTATTATTATTATTATCACTATCGCGGTTATTAGTATTAATACTAGGTAAAAAAATTCTAGGTTTGCAGATCACGGTAAAAGCGGCATGTGACTGAATCTCTCCAATTAAGAAACGGGAAAGACTTGAACGGAACAGGACACTGATATATCTAGATTTCGCTTAGTATACAGTAAATTGATTGAATACTTTACCTTGATTTCTATCGGTTAATATATGTTTATCAATATGTCAAGTGATATAATGTAGTAATATAATGCAAGGTATTAATCTTTAATAACAAGCATTTCATGTATCAATAATCTGAACTATTGCAATGGAAGATAAACGAGTGCTGTTAACAATATTCAGTATATGCTGAGCATTTTATTAATCTATTATTTGCCATTGGGAACATCTAAACCCAAAAGTTTCTGCATCAAGCTGCAACACATACATACAACTTGTCCAGAATTGGCTTTCATTCGAGAACCTATCATATAATCAAAAGAATCTGGTTCATTCCTCTTTAAACAAATATTCAGCCACAAAGTCTTCTGAATCATGATACATGCGGAACGAACATGAGCAAATTATTTTTGCATTACACACAGGATATGAATAATTGGATAAAAATTAAAGTCAAAAAACAAACGTAATGAATACAGACGAAATGAATACAAACGATAAACTAGACATCTTACTTTGAAAATGAATAGCTTAGTAACGAATAGCCCACTGCGATAGCACCTTACCCCTCTTGTGTGAAACGCCGCCGATAAAAGAAAACCAACCATTTTCGATAGTGTCACCATGACGGCAGGTTAATGGCCTGGGTAACCTTTATTATTATGCAACGTGTTTCTTTGTTTTTGGCTGCCATTAAATATATGTATGCATTAATGTACTATGTACAATTACATACGTTATCTACTAATACTATGGTCACTCTAAAATTCAGTAGTAAAACATGTGGAAATCTTCCATAGTCTAAAGTAATTGACAGACAAGATAGACCGTCTAAATAATGATCTTTTATCGTATATGCTGTACACTTTACTGTTATTGCTAATTTGCGTTGGATTAATGGAAAGTACGTCCGCTGTATGTCTCCTGTCATGGGTGAGACGCAAGGTACATTTTATCGTCGATAGAAGCGTATCTATGCATAGCATTTTGTAATAGAAGCATACATACATTTGTACATGTCGTTCAGTGTATTATTAAATACAGAGTATTAGCAATAATATTACTACATACCGAACACATTAATATTTTGTTCGTCTTTTGTATTCGCACATGAATGAAACCATCCATGTCAATCTCTTAAAAATATTGTATAACCCTGTTTGTTGCAAATGGTCATGGAGTGAAGAGATACAGCTAGTTACCAAATTCTATTATTACACTACACGTTTGTTCGATATTAATATGCGGTATATCGGATAACGACGTGATTATGTAGATAATGAGTGTCTGATATGCGTTATCAGATAACGACGTGGGTAATAGGAATGACAAGTTTATTGCACGCTTCGTAGTTATGTTGTTAATAGCAAAATTATTGCTTTATTTTTTGGATTGATAATTGGGCCAACAACCGACTTTTAATAGTGATTAATTAATATAAATTTATTTATTATAAATAAATTGATACATGATAAACAAATTGATTATGATACATGATAATAATAAACAAACCGATACATAAAATAAATTGTGCGAATGCTTGTACTAAGCATCTTGGCATACACTGGAGTAGCATGGATATGTATGCTACTAGCACAATGTATGCGCGCGGTGTCGGCTGAGTCTTTAACAAGCCGACACCGCCAAT